ATATTCGTCAGACTGTCGCTCGAAGACTCCAATTTTGCTGGACCATGATTCGCTGCATTGCATGACATCCATTGATGAGTCTGGTGGGTTGCTTCGTATTTTTTGTTGAATGCTACTCATATGGAATGTGCTTCATCACTAATTATGTGATGCTGTCAACGAATGTTACAGGGAGTTGTGCTCTTGATCAGTATTTGTTTGCATTAGCATACTTATCAAAATTGGGACCAGCCTTAGAAGGATATCGTCGAGAGCATCGTGGATCAGGTGCACATCCAGTCATCCAATTTCGACAATTAATTGCAACTGCAGAAAGTGTTCGATTATCGGTATTGGGTGCTGCACCACCGAATCTAAAACATGAACCATTTTTGGTTAATATGAATATCTATTTGGATGAAGAAACAATGAGCTTAAAAATGAAGTTGGATTTCGGCAAGTTTTTTTCAGCTGACTTATTCTATTATTCGGTCAATTTTTATTGTTGAAAAAAAAAAATATACCATTTTTTATGTTATGTCAGTAAGATGCTCTGTTCTTTTATTTCTTAACAGTTTTTCTGTACAACGGTAATTGCTTTTCAAAAATTGAAGATGTATTGGGATTAGGATATATGACTTTTATTCATGGTAATATATAGTATACAGAGCGGAAGAGATTTTTATGGAAAGATATACTCTCAAGCAATAATATTTTTTTAAGTAATTGTATAATTCAGAAAATTCGGAATTTTCAAGTTTTTAGATGGTGAAGATATTCCGGCTGATAATGATATCCGTACAGCGGAGCTTTACTTCGTGAGATTTGTTGCTCGATTGGGGAATGAAATTGCTGTAGTTGCATTCGCTAATGCCTGTAGGCTTGCTGCACCGGGTGCATTTTCGGCTATTACTCGTATAATGAGTGTACAAATGGTAAATTATTACATTTGTCTATGGCAATAACTAGCTTTTGCGATATGTGTTCAGGAAGTTTTCTTCCTCATCTTTTTTTTTTGCATGACCTAAGAAATCAGAAATTCAAATTTGTGCATTTTATTCGTATATATATATATTTTTAAAAATTTCGGAATATTTAGGATGTACCGGGACAGATGCGGTACTTATCATAACATATAGTATACTTAGACTTTTATGAAAAGATATACTCCGAAGCAATAATATTTTTTTAAGTAATAGTATTTCCTACATTTGAAAAATTAAAAAATTGTTTCTACTCAAATAGAATTGGACCGAAGATACTCCTTGGCGTCCATCAATCCAATTGGTGATGTGGAGCCAGGAAGGATCAGTCCCAAGAGCACGCATTTCACCTGGCATTGTTATTGACCAGACGAATATCAGTGTTCTCATTTTGGTAAGTTCCCTGAATTGAAGAACTTAGACCTCGAAATGACATAAAATATATGAAGGTCATTAAAAAAATCATTTCTGTATATCATTTATCGTATCAATTTTTAAAACTTTTAGCTTTGTCTAAGACCAGCGCGTCATAATCCGTCAGAAAAAAATGCAGATGCATCGAAACATTTGATACCTCTCATTTACAACACTCAAACGTGAGATTTATGATACTTTTTCTGAAATAACTAGATTTTAAGTTTTAAAAGGTAATCAAGAAATTGACTTTATTTTCTATATTGAAGGAAATGACAAGTTAAAAAAGTTTCTTATTTTGCTAGTAACTTTAGTTCAAGGTATTTGTTTTGCAAATGAATTCACTGATATCAGTCGTTTCAATCCTTGTTATTTCTTCGATTAGTGTCAAGCTTATCACCTAGTTGCTTTAGAAATACCGTAGCTCGACGTAGCAGCGGTGCAGATGATGATGCTAGCAATGCTACAACTGTATTGTCGAATATTTCCGAGCAGTACTCCCTGACAAATGAACCAGCTTTGTGGCCAGCTATCTATTCTCTTGCTCATAATTTTACTGTACAACGATAGCGAGAGCATTTTTGTGGTACCTCTTTCTCAGGTGTAAAAAGCGTCGAGTTTTTCCGGTTATTTCGTATATAGGATTTGCTTCTTTTATTGTGATGTTTCTTACTATCAAGTGTCTTAAATAGATAGAACGATCCAGAACTGAGTTGGCGATTTCAGTTTTCCATAAATTGAGTAAAAAAGTCTTGGGTTTATCAACACCAGTATGAACTTCTAGTATATTTTCTGACAAGTTTACGTATCTAGCGAAGATATGGTAATTACTACACTGTCTTTACAACAGCTTATTTATAATCACTGGTTTTTTCCTCTTCCATTTTTTTGGTTGATCACTAATTCTACCACAAGTTGTCTGGGAAGTTAGCTTAATTTTTAAATTTGGAGAGCCGTTAATCAAGTGAAGTCTTTGAAGACAAAAAAATGTCTTCAAATGTTTTGAACATTTCCATTTTCAAAGTTTTGCAGCTGTTTGTGAATGGTTTTTGAAAAACTAGTATTAATGTACATGAAGAAAGTCACTTTTTTAATAAATGCTGAGGTTTCATTATTACTGGTAGAAAAGAAAAGCATAGAAATAATCGGTCATAATTTTCGACGACTAATTGCAGTGCATTTTTAGTGATAGTAATTATGAAAAAAAAAAAACCGGAAGAAATGAAAATAGTGAGATTGTAGTAGTTTTTCAAATAATGGATAATTAATAATGATCTCAAGTTCATGTTTGGTTTACTATTTTCACTTATTCATTTTGTGCTCGTTTTGGAATTTTCGTATTTCATGAATTTGTTTATTATGCGTTCGAATTTCTTGTTACTTTTTCATGTTTTTTGCAGGACTACTTCAACTTGTATTTTTGAAAAATGCATTTTTTAAAGCCTTTTTTGACTGCATAAAAAGACTGACTGTTTCATATATCTTCGTAACTTCATCTTTTATTTCGTTGTTTAATCCTTTATTTCAGGATATATTATTTCATACTTTTAGCTTTTGTTTGTATATTTATCAATGAAATCATTCCCTACTACATACAACATATTAAGAGCATCTATCGTTTCGCAGAAGTCTCATTCTTTAACCTTCACTATTTTGTTACTTTCGTTATAAATGTGATTGTTTACAATAATGGTCTATTTAAAGAAAAGAGACAGTTGCAATATCATGAATAAATCTAATATTAAATGCTATTAATAACTTATGTTATTATTAAATTAAATATACTTCATGAAAGTGGACTGTTAAAACTGTGAAAGTATTGATTGACTGATGGGATTTTTTGAGCGAATGTTGATTCAGAAATGGAAATTGATCAGCATGGTGCATTTCATCATTGTACTCTAGATATGGGAAGAGGGATCATTGCATCTCTCCCTCTCATATATTCCTACTTTATTCCACCTGGTTACACATTCCTTTCCCATTTCATTGTTTTGTATAGTATTTACTTACAAAGATTGGTTTTTAGGAACCTGAAATAATTAGGTATTCAAATTAGTTCGACACTTTCCACTCAACTTTGTTGCTTATTTGGTATTAGATTTTTGCTGTGTCGGAATAATGTATGTATAATAACTTTGAGTTTATGGTTGCTAAATGTATTTTAGATTTATTAACAAAAGGTAACTTCATAATACAATGGGTGCGGCGACGTCTGGACTTCAATCACAAATGCAGCAAGAGCATGATCCAAATGCTGCCTTCCCATGGTGGGTGCGTTTCCTAGCAAAAGGACTTGGAGTACTTGGTGGCTTTGTGGCTATTTTCTTTGCCGTACTTGGTTTAGTTTCATTGTCTGCAACCTGTATCATTGCTGTTCTATTACAACTGTTAGTTACTTTTATTTAGTTACACTTTCATTCAATAATTATTATATTACAGAAGTTGTTAATAGATTTTAATTGTTATAAGGTTAATTTTCTATATGACTTACCAAAAGTCTTACACTGGTCTTAATCCTTTTAGGAATTAAACTTTGTTTAATCACGAAATAATTCATGGAGCTTATTTTTTAAAATTCATAAATGCCTATCTGAGATATCGTCTTAACATTTCAGTGTCACTTTAAATACTAGTAGATTTCCATAGCTGTTCGTATGTTGCAGAGCGTTTGGTATACTGACGGTAGCATTAGAGGCTCCGTTTTGTTGCATGTTTATCGATTTCATTGAAAAAATTGCCATGTTTTCGGAATCACGAAAATATTGGCAGAAAGGGGCTCTTTACTGTATGTAAGTTTTTAATATGTTAAATGCATGTTAATTGTCATCTGTTTCAAAGATTCTAAGCGAAAAAGACTATTAATACACGTAGAATGGTTCTTCTCAATACTAACACAAATGGATAATTATTACCTAACATCTTTACAACACTGCTGTTTATTAAGAGTACTTTTTTTGAATTTTTTTTTGAAAAGAACATTTTTCGATGTTTGTTTTTTTCCTAAAACTATGTACAACTAAAATTTTATAGCATGGGCGTGCTACCAATATTGTTGTGCACTGAGCTAAATACGGTACTTGGTAGTGGAATGATTTTTGCATCGGGCACTGTATATGGTTTCTTGGCACTGGGCAAAAAAGCAGACTTATCATCGATGGGCGGTACCACAGATCCAGCGTGGAATGCTAATGTTAACCAACAACAGACACCGGCATCCTTTGGAAATCCATCTATGGCTTAATTTGATGTGTATTTGGAAAATGATCTCAATTTTTTTATTACATTCAGTAATTTTTTTTTTTTCTGAAGGACATGACGCTTATCTTCCTGTTTTTCTGATCTAAATTTATAAAAGTGAAAAGTATTAAAATATGTACTAACTGGAAGTTCCACTTTCTTGTAGGTTGTTGGAATTTTGGAAGGAATTCAAGATACAGAAATTATGATTCAGCAGACGTAGTTTAATTTGCACGTTGATCATAATAGTGCGTGATATGATTGGTTGTAATTCCTATTTTTGAACTGCTGGCGTTTTGTGCAATTTTTTCCTTCTGATATTTTTGTGGCAACACTAGGATGATTCTTCACGTTCTACATATCTTCTCTTCGCTAGGCTCCTTCTCACCCAGCTTGGGTCTTCTCCTTTGACACCAAACCATATTTTTCAGATTCCTTATATGCCATGTCCTAGAAAAGTTCCATTTTGGCATTAACTTATGTTAAGAGTTGCATACTTTTTTGAGCTGCTTCTTCGCCTACTTTGTTTTAATTATTTTGTCTCTTCATTCCAGCGACTGACTAATAAGACTGTCTTTTAAGAATACTAAAACTTGGCTTAATGACTCTATGAGAATTCTCAAAAAGTTCTTTTTTTATTTTATGTGATTAATGATTGTTCTTCATTCCATATGAAATCAGATAGTAAAAAGGTTTGGGTATCACTTTATAAAATTCTTAATATCCAGGGTTTCTACACCCTAATTTCTAAATGGAATCGTTCTCTAAATCAAATTCCTAGGTATCTGTGATTTCTTTTAAAATTATTCTAGGTACTTCAAGAAATTTTAGCTGTGATGTTACTGGAGCATCCGGTATTTTGTACTAGTTTGCCAGCTCATTGCTTCTCAATATTTCCTATTGACCAGTACGTATTTATAATTATTTGCTGTATTGCTATTTTTAATGGCTGTCAAATTTTTTATTTAAAGTCTCTTTTGCTTGCATGTTTGATATATCTACCAAGAAAGTAATTTATTTAGACTAATTTTACTCATGTAAAAAAAAAAATAATGGTTTCTGTATGAGAAAGAGGAAAAAGAACATCCATTACTGACAAAAACCTGAGTCGTATTTTGATGATACGGATGTCCTCATTTGTACATCATTTCGCTGTCCTATATCTTCCCGAGCGCTACACATTTCAAAATGTAAAAGGAATATCTAGTGAATGAGAAAGTATATAGCAGTAATATAAACGAAAGTATTTATTTGAAGAAGTTGCCGGAACAACACATATGTGAGGATATATACATCTTAGTGAAAAGTTAAGTACAGTTAATGCCAAAAGAGGTTTTAATATCTTTCCGGGTGTGGAATATGATCTAAAAGTAAGCGTGACAAAAACAATGCCGGAAAATATCTTCAGAGCAAGGATGAAATGTTGGTTGGCCATTTTTTAGTAATGCTATATCCAATAACTAAACACACTTGGACAAGATGATTATAGTCTCAAAAAGAAAAAAAAAAAAACCTCTATAACATCAGTAATGTAAGATAACACAATGTAGAATTTATATAAAGTACCGGATTATATCTTTAAAAGACAAGGTGTCTGTGCCCTATAAACCAGAAAGCATTCACCAAAGAGATTTCAAAGTTTTCATTTTCATTGTAAGCAAAACGAAACGTGAAATAGGACTACCAATTTTTACCAATTCATTTGCCGTTATTCCAGCCATTTGAAGCGACTCGTGAAGAATTTGAAACTTCTGGAAATATTTTTTGAACATGAATAAAAAACATAAATTGTATAACATCGGCTAAGTGGGAGTGCAGATCAGAAAAACTTTAAGGTGATACTGACTGGGTGGGATTTACTAATCTAAGATCTTCACTCTTACGAATTGCTAATTTACGTGTCGAACAGTTTAAATCCCAATGCCTTTTCATTTTTCAGTTTAGGATTTATCGAAAGAAATGTATGATACAACTGATAACAAAAATGATAAAACATGCCGTTTCTGGAGTGTCTTCTCGGTAAATAACGTAATCATTAACATTTAAACAATTCACAGCTTCATCATGCTTCACTGTGAAAGTTTTGTAGCGGAAGGTTGCTTCACGTTCCATTCGCTAGAAAAAAACAGTTGTTATCAACAAAAATAATAGCGCATTTGAACTGTATACCGTTGAACTGAGTAAATACGTTTTTGCATAACCGAGTCCTTTGCATATTTAACGAATAAAATAATTTGAAAAGATACTTGTATAACTTGTTTCGCTTCTTTAGAACTGCCTACTGCAAGGACATCTGCTGAAATGAGTGAAACGTAGTGTCTTAAAGGCTGATTTCCGGGAAGTGTAATTGGTATTACAGCTAAGTCAGAAAATGTTCGTGCAACAATCTAAAAATAAACATTAGCTAAAAAATTTTTTCATAATGATATCTGTAAATGATATTTGTTGTATAAAATGATTTACTGTTCTACAAATAATAAAAATTAAATTACCAATGCTCCTTCCATGTTGGTACCATTCTTTCGTATGCCAACAAACACCTCTTTACCAGTGTATAGCACATCACTGCCCTCGAGCACAATTTCTCTATTATGTTCGGAAGCTTGTGGTGTTTCTACAACCTGCCAGGCAAGTTGATTAAGCAAGTTGCTAATCTACAAACAATAACTTATCAATAATGACATGAACAAATACTGGTAACGATATGAACTCAGTATTTTGTCATTAATATCCAATCTGACCTTCTATTATTGAATACTATTTTTGCTATCTGCTGTTCACATGTTTCACACAGAAATATAAGCAAAATGATTCATGCAAGTGCTGGGAAGAACATTTTGTTTTGAAACTGTAAAAAAACAAAGAAATATATATATATATATATATACCTCAAGTAAGCGATTTCCATTTTTCCTTGGACGAGTGATCAAGGCAGTACCATTGATACAAATGGCAGCATCGCCAGTAAACAAACTTTGCTGAATACAACGCTCTTCAGCTGAAAGTTCAATGATATCAACACCAGCCTGAAAAAGAAATTTCTTCCTGAAAATTAGCAAATTCACATAAATATTGCATTAAAAAGGTAAGTCTCTATTAGAAGCATTCTTCAAAAGACCATCTTAGAGAAAAGTTACACCACTTTTACAAGTACAAAAGTTTCATCAAAGTGATAGCTATAAGACTTAGATACAAACTTCTCTAAGCGTCTCGCAAAGCTCCTCCATTTGCTTCGCAGCTAAATCCAAATCAATTCTTATTCTCTTTTCCATTTTTACTTTGCTTGGGATGCGAACAACGATAGCATGTGTGTACCGCATATCGATACTGTAACTACAGAATTTAGAATTTCAAAATGCCTTAGTTTTTTTTTTTTGAAAATTACAAGACTGACTAATAACAAATCGACCGGAAAACTACATTCATGTCATTTCGATGTTATTCCAGCACTTTTTTAACCTAATATTTTTGAGCGTCTAAACTCTCTCTTAAATCCTAACCAAACCGAATCCCACTTCTAATCGATTGTTTCGGCGAGTTCTCCAATTATAAAAAACAAACTCTTTAAACTATTCACAAAGTAATTCTAAACACTGTCCTTCTTATTTGTCACTTTTTTCTTCTCTTGCACTTAAAATTAAGCAAAGAAATTTCACCCTATATTATTTACCAATAGAACTGCTCAGCTACTTAGTCGATGAATTAAGGGCAGCACTCTTATTAATCTAAATTGCACCTCATACTCTTTCTTTCCTCTTTCTCTCTCTCTCTCTCTCTCTCTTTCCCAACAACGTAGTACAGAATAAAGAACATTTCTGACTTTACCATTTCACTATATCATTACTTCAAAAAATTTTTAAGAGTTTCAAAGCACAAAATGACATTGTACGGATTCGTTTATCCTTTAAAAAAAATTGATGAAATCTGCAATATAACAAATCCATTTATTCACAACAACAACACCAAACAGAATAGTTTAATAGATTTTACCCAACGATAACATTCACAGTGCAGCCAATATATTCTTGCAAAAATCAAAAAAAAACATTCAAGAAAAAAAGAATAGTAAGCATATAATTCTCGATAAGAAACATTTACCTAAGCATAACAACGTCATCTTCATCATCATCAATAATTAATGGCCTCTTGCGTGAAAATTTTACTGTTTTCCCATTGCAAATCAATTTTGAAGGAATGGAGAAGGTAATTCGGTGATCCGATCTGTTCTCCATTGCAATGCTCTTTTCGTCTGGTACAACATAGCTAATGATTGAATATGGTGTGAAGTGGAAATCTTCCTGAAAAGCGATAATTCCAAAGAAAAAAAAAAACGAATAAACCACTGCCCGTAGTCTTAACATTTTGGAACAACCCATTTTTCGTCAATTTTCCAGATCCATCAGCTTTTTCTAAGAGGTTTTCTTTTCCACGGTATTACTGGATATGACTATCCAGTAAATAGGTCTTTTTTCTTCTTTTTCATTGTATACATCGCAAGTATCATTCCCACAATTAATCCAGTTATTCTTTTTTGTCATATACTATTTTCACCATTTATTCGACATTAGAAAGAGATTAAAAATTTTCGAAAATACGGTCGAGATTGTTAACATCATTTTGGTAAACAAATTACTAGATATTTGGCTTATTTCTAGAAATAAAGCTATATTTGTAAGGGATAATGATAACTGACTAGACTAGTGCTAATTACTACTTTAATATTCTTATCTCAACTTTTTTCAACATCTGTTTCTACAAAAGACTTTATAAAATCAGTAATTTTATCATATAATAAAGTTTTCTTAGTATGCAAAAGATGCCAATTTTTTTAAGCAAAACATCAGTTATAAAAAAATTGCTAAATATAATCGCTGAACGGAACTCACTTTAAGATATCCATCAAGGATCAATTTTGCAACCAAAAGTTCGATCATTTCTCTACTTACCGAGCTAACTTTCTTCCAAGTTAACTCTACTAGCTTCATGCCCGTTATACGATTATTATCTGTTTTTTGAGCCTTAAAGTAAAATAAGAAAAATCTGTAAAAACAAACAAAAAAGACTAATAGAGCAAATCTAAAATAATTATATTCGTTCCTAATTCATAACCAGAAGAACTTCAATTTCAGGCTGATCTAAATTTGACCCATTTCCAGCATGACTATCCCATTTATCATGGCTTTTTTGATCTGCAGTTCTCATAACATGAATTATAATTTTTTTGGAAGGAAGACTACACAATCCATACATTTAGGACCTCTAGCATCTGTCGCCAATAATTGGTCACATCTATACATTCAATAGCATTAGTTTGAGCACATATATCACACATTTTGGAACATAATGATGCATTCCACTCCACATTGAAATGCTCGGCTATAACTGACCGCCGACATTCCGAAGCCTGGAAAAAAACTTAAAAAATACAAATTAAGGAACTTCTGAGAGACAAACAAACAGAATTTAATAAGCAGAAAATTAATCCTTAGTAAAAAAAAAAAGAAAGAAAGAAAAAAAGGAAAAAAAAATAATTTTCTTAACAGTGTTTGCAAATGAGATACTAATTGAAAAGCAATCCTTTTATCTCCAAAATTATTGTTAATATTGTTAAGATCTGAACGAGTGGAGAATTTCTTTTAAAAGCTAAGAGAAAATCTCCCTCACAAAGACCTGCAGTCCGATCCTCTCACTGTTTTAAACTTAGTAATTCTAACTGGTAACTAGAAAAAAAAAAAAAAAAACTCACTCTTATTATTCAATACCACATTGTCCAATCTTTTTCTAAACTGCTTTGAACTAGAATAGAACTATCACTTAGATAAACTATGAGAAATAAATTATACCTCAATACAATAAGACAACACAGAATATAAATTCCGCACACCAGTCTTTTCCGTACAAACCATTGTACTTTGCCGAAATAGATCATTTAAACGATAAAACAAGATACAGTAAGCTTCATTACCATCTCGTCCGACGCGTCCACTTTCCTTAAAAATAGATTAAAATTTAGAGATTCAAACATGGACAAGGATTGACTATGACACTTATAAACTCAATTAACGGCAAATAATATGGATGCACGAGGATAAAAGGAAGCAAAACTTTGTTTATTCCTTCTTTATAACTTATTTTTACAGTAACCTTTATCTGAAAAAATAAGAAGCCATTATGTTGAAAGGTTCAGTGTACTTACTTGATTATTTGAGAGCTATTTCAAATAATTCAATGCGTTACACTAGAGTTTAAATCGAGCATAATGAAACGCTTACTGATACTTGACAGTCATAAAATATGTCGTTCTAATTAAACAATGTAGTCACACCACTATCAATTAAATTAAAATTAGGAAATTGAAGATAAATGAAGAAAGTTTGCTTTTTTTTAACTCAATGCTTTAATTAAAATAAATACTTGGTAGTAGCTCTCCAGCGATTTTGGTAATGAATGATGTATAACGTAACGAACATTAGGCTTATCAATCCCCATACCTAAAAATATTTTTTTAAATTCGAGAGAAACTAAACTGAGAAAACATATGACTTTTACACAAATATGTACAAATTTTAATGCATAATTACCGCTTAAGAAATAAAGACAAACCAAAAGCTACCGTCGCTACAATAACATTAATCCCGCCATTTAACCATTTTTCATGTGTAATGTTCCTTTTATCAGCATCCAAAAAGGCATGATAATGTGACGCTTTTACACCTTTTGCACTGAAAATAAATCAGTGTGAATACCAAACAATTTATAAAAAATAACCTATTAGACAAATAAAGTATCTCTTATTGAAAGGAACTTGATTGCATGGAAAACAGATGACAAAAAAACAAAAGAAAATACTTCGTTTGTCACGCATCAGCCTTTCTATTTTCCACTGAATATTTTTTTATGATAATTTGAAAAGCTCCTCAAATTTTTCTGTTTCATAGTAAAATTATAGATAAAGATTGTTAGGAAAGAAGCAAACTTTTAAATATCGGGAGCCAAACAAGAAGTTGAGTACAAAACGCTACCGTAATAATTTTGTAAGTTCCTCACATTCTTTACGCGAAAAGCAATAAATAATTCCACTCAGTCCTGCAAACCGGGTATTAATTAGCTCCACCAAAATATCCACGAATTCAGCATCTGATGATGGCTTCTGACATACACTGTAATGCAAATTTGGCCGATTGAAACCAGCGCGAAATACCACAGCAGCTACAAATAGATTCAATTAATGAAACAAAAAGGGAATAAAGTATTTGAAAAACGACCACAGAAAGAGTTCTTTTATAGTTACTATAAAATAAGTTTAAAAGAAATTTTTAGTTAAAATAAGGAACAATGCAGAAACTTGAAATTTCCGAAAAACTAAACCCATTTAAAAAATTAGTCAGATTGGTCAAGAATCACAAAACCTGGAATCCCTAGCATGTTTTTCACATCGTCAATAACATCAGCAGTAGCGGTTGCAGTTAGTCCAATCAGCGGTACAGCTTGAAATTGACGTTTCAAAACATTAAGAAATTTAAAATCTGGCCGAAAATCATGTCCCCACTGCGAACAGCAGTGTACTTCATCAACCGCAATCAACTAAAATTTATAAAAAAGGTAATTTCACGAATTTAAAATTAAATTAATCTTACATCACGATTATACTATTTAAAAGTCACATTCTATTCAAAAGCTTCAACAGAAGAAATTTCTCATAAAAAGTAAGACGATTCTTTCCATAGTAATGTCCATGTTTCATTTATTAATTCATATTTTCACAAATAAATATAATCTAGAATTAGTCTGTCGATAGTTGAAAAGGTAGAACATAGAATAAATAGTATGGAGAAGTTGAAGGGCTGCTTCGTTTCAACCTTTCGTTTCAACAAGTAAAAAAAAAAAAAAACTTAGAAAATAAAAAAAAAAAAAACGAATAAAACTGAACTGGCCACACTCAACGACTAACTTTTAATCGTTTCATTTCGTTACATTTTTCCAAACGATTCATAATCCTCTTACTTTTTGCTAATTTTTCGGGCGTGACATAAAGCAAGCGTAGCGATGCCTTTGAATCGGTAAGTGCTGTTTGTATTCGATTTACCTATCAATATATATTAGTTGTTATTTAAAATTTTACTACCACTTTGAAACAACAATTCCTCATTATCAAAGCAATAAATCCCAAATAATAAATTCAATTAAAGGATCCAGAAGAGAATAGTTTAAGGTACCAGTTAAACCCTGTTTACATGTGCAACCTGTTGTATGTTTCTCCACCTCTCATTTCATCAAATTATATTATTTACGAAATCAAAATCTTTGCTTTGAAAACTAAAATTTTCCTTCATTTCCTACTACTTAATGTTGCCGTTTAATTGGAGAATAAATTAAAGCAAATGGTTAAACAGAGCACCATAAGTGTTATTCCAAAATATGCAATATTTGACTACAGATAATTTGTAGCTACAACACCATCAGTAATGTGCTTTAATGAATTTCCAGAAAGTCCCTCCCAGAACACTTGAGAATCTTCGATGCAGTAATCTAATAGAATAAATTATTTCAAAAAAATTATAAGCCATACAATATAAAATAAATGAACTTTGAGGTTTTACAATCAACACTTAATCTTATCGGAAAAACCACGATTTATAATTTCCAGTTCAAGAGCTTAGACGCTTAAACTATTAGCTACGGCTGATTCATTACCATAAATTCTTCTTTGATGTATGACCAAAACTTTTCTATAATATCTATTTCTTGAAGAGACTGAATTAGACATTTTCATCGACTCAGCATCGAGGCAGTGTGGTAAGCTTGTTGGCAAACAAAACTCGACTTTTAACTAAATAATAAAGATAAAAAAAGGCCATTATGAATTATAAAATATCCATCTTAGAACTAATTAAGTTTGATGTATTTTTTAGTCAGGCATAAATAAAATTTCTTTCTTAAAAATTTAACGATATAAATCAATTTCTTACCTCTTGTTTCGCAGTGGACTGATTGAGTGTTGCTGCATCAATGCCCAGTTTTCTTAATTGGTGCAACTGATCTTCAATGAGAGCTACCAGAGGTGATATAACCAATACGATACCTATAAAAACAAACAGAAAGTGTACAGAGCTTATCAATTTCCTGAATATTGCGTGATAAAGTGCATTGTTTAGATATAATTTAAATAAAAAACTGAATACTAAACCTTTCATAACAACAGCAGGTAACTGATAGCAAAGACTTTTCCCGCTTCCAGTGCTCATCACCACCAAACAATCCTCCCTCGACAATACTGCATTGATAACAGCTCTGAAGGAAAAATAAGCGATACCCGCTAAAATTAGCTAATTGGGGATGCAAACTTCTGTCATAAACAAGCAACTTTTGTGCAATAACTATGTTGAACAGATTTCCTATTATTAATACTGACATAGAAAATATGAAATTCCGACTAAAAAAACCTTTGTAAAGGGCGAAAATCACTGAGTTTAAAAATGTCGTGTAATATACGACGACAGTCCTTCATCCACTGAAATTCATCTGAATCCCAAATTCTAAATGAACTTTCATTCTCCACATTTCGCTCAACTATACGCTTTTCGATCTGGAAAAATCGTAGTCCAACAAAAAATATGGACAGTGCAAACGATCTAAATCTCAAATTTTACAATTTCTAATCGTCCTAAAAAACCTTTATAATACTGTTTTATTCGCGTGAGTGCACTAAACATTAACATATTCGAATGTAACACCAGTCCTTTCAGGTAAATACATGCCAGTTTAATAATATACAATAACAAACCTGTGCTTTCCTTTCCAATAAAGTACGCTTCCGCTTTCTCAACGAACATATATCTCCTTCGATCCTTTCTAGTTCTTCATCCAGTTTTGACAATTCCATCGAAAGTTTTGCTCCGAGTGATCCTGTCGCTTCCATTTTCGCTCATTGATAGAGTAATTTATTATCAGTAACTGAATACTAGCATAACTCATCACTGATACGGAAAGATACAATCACCACTTTGCTCATCCCTCATCGCTTGGCTTAGCTTCTCATTCAATTCAACACTCAAAACGAACATCGGCCAAAAGTAACCGTAAAACACCACCTGCTCCTCTCTTTTCCAGGAGGGAAGAAAATTCGAGACGTTTATTCCGATTAGTGATGTTAGATGGGGCATTTAAGTAGTGAAATTAATTTTGGAGCTAAAATTTATTTAAGATTATTTTAAATTAAGGAAATGTCAATTACTCTCAGTGGGCCGCGTAACCATCATCGTAAACAACTTCTGTCGAAATCTCAGTGATTATTTTGAGATATACACACAACATCCATCTCTATATATCCATATCAAATGAGCGAAAATCTAACACAAATTACCTCAACGCCACATTTGAATAGCTTATAGGAGATGGTATCTCAGGTAAACAGACGTTTAAATATTTAAAAATGCTATTTTCGTTTACATGAAAAACATTGTTTTGTTATGCATCAAATCTGTTCTCGGTTTCAATTTCAAAATACAACTTTTGAAATTTGTTCATAGATTTCTGTTATAGGAATAGCATTAAATTTTAAGGCAGTTTTGCTAATAAAAACCTTCCAAAAAATTTTAGAAATTTTCAGATTCAGCGGCAAAATAGTGCAAGTGAAAAGGTTAAACATCAAGCTGTGATGATTTTCATATACCAAGTCAGTGTTTCTACCGGTAATGACTGAGATTTTTGGCTCAAAGATTGATTTTTATCATAGTTCTTGCTCTATAACCAATAAAAATCACTTTTCTAACTCAATATAATCGTGATCATTCCATTCGATAGCTGATGATAATTGTGGTCTTTCTATTTGATAACTGATGATAATCATGATCCTATTCAAGAATTGATGACGATCATGTTCCTTCTAAGTCGGTAGTCGGTGATAATCATGATCTTTCTGTTCGACAATTTATGAATCATGATCTTTCTAACTTGATAATTGGTGATAATCATAGTCTTTCTATTCTATAACTGATCATGGTCTTTCTAACTCGATAATCGGTGATTATGTGTTTTTTCGATAATTGATGATAATCGTGACCATTTCAACTCAATAATCGCTGATCATCATGACCTTTTTAGCGATGATGATCATGACCTTTCAACTGCATAATCAATATCATCATAATCTTTCTAGAAGTAATAACTCTAGTACACATACTGGACTTAAGATGAAATTTTTCTTTTTGTGTAACAGAGTGTTAATACTTGTGTATTAGTACTTGTTTTATCGGAATAAAATAGAAAATAGTATAAAATAGAAAATAGCAAATAAAAATATAAATAAAAATTACAGAAATGAGAGCGAGATAGAAAGAAAGAAGGACAAATTCATTAAGTTTCAAATTCGTTTTAATTTTAGGTTAGGCGTTTCGAAGCCGTATTCTAAAACGGTTGAAATGATTTAAATAATTTTTTTGATATCAGTGATTAATATTATTTCTTTCTTTCCGTTTCATCATTTTATTTCTTTAACTTTTCTCTCTTACCTGTTTCCTTTGAAAAAAGCTAATCAGGGTTTTAGACACTAAAGATTAAACTAATAAGATGGTAAAATTTCAAACCCGAAATGTCAGGTGAAATATACATAAAATCAATTAACATAGCACTGAAGGGCTATGAAGTATACACGTATAAAGAGAGATAACAAGAAGTAGAAGTGCATATGAATGAAAGGAAGTGGATAAGTCAGTCAGGATAACTCCTTCTCCCTCCTTAAATAAATTCTCCTCTGAAACTCAAATTCCATCCCGCTGCAGTTATATTATGAAAGTCAATAAATTTGAATACAATTTATGGATGATTACCTGTATAAATAGACATACATTATAAATTAAATAAATGGATATTCTGATTTACATTATATAAAAAATTCAATGGAATATTGCCACAAATTTGGTAAATGAAAGATCAGCAAGTTATAAAAATGAAAACTTATATTTAATTCCTAATGATAGAACATTTCTTTTTATTTTACAAGTATTTAAAATATTTCCAAAATAATCATGATGATAAAGTGACAGTAGGAATGTTTCCTAATACTGGTGATTTTGTACCACCATTGGTGAGAGTCATATTCTTTCTGACAGTACCAATTCGTTCATCCTGAAAAAAATATGCTATTGCGAAAATAACTATGAAATGTTCATAATAAAATAATGTAGAACAGATTAGAGGACTACAAAAATTGCAAGTATACAACTACGTAAAATGATTGAAGCAGAAATTGGAAGAAAATGAATGATCTTGCTGATCAGTGATACAAAAAATACTTCAAGAAAATGACCAGGAAATATTTTACCCGAACATTATCTAATGGATTGATCATGATGTTATTCTGAGCTTTTCGTGGTCTCCTATGTTCCACTTCTAGTGAATTGTTATGCGAAATTCGATGGACTTGAAGTGTTCGCGATTGGCAGAAGCCTTTTTGGCATATGTCACATTTGAATGGTTTATCTTTCGAATGAATAAATCTGAATAGAAAGAAGGTAAAATATGATTTGAAGTGCAATGCAAAAAAAAAAAAAAAAATTATTAATAAGTGCTATGTAATGCTAATTTTTCCATACATAATCTATCATTTACGGATTTAATGCACATATCACGTTGATTAATCACTTAGATAAGGAAGCATAGAAGTAGTTAAGAGTAAGTGAGACGTAGAAACGTGAAAGAATTCTGCTGGTCATTTATTATTTAGTAGCATAAAGATTGAGGATTACAGAACGCAAGTATAATAATTAAATTAGGAAAGAGTTTAGAGATTTTTTTAGCATACTACACACCTGAATTCAGACGCTACTTACTTTTTCAGATGCTAACTTGTCTCTAAAGTTTGAAAAATGAAAAGATGATAAAAAGAAATTTAAAACCTGTGATCTCTTAAATGATCTTGTCTACGAAAGGCTTTGCCACAAATATCACAGTCATATGGTCGCTCATCGGTATGCGTACGTTCATGTATTAATAAATTATATGATTTGGTAAAATGTCGATTACAATATTTACATATAAACTCTTTCTTTGGACGAGCTCCCCTACCAGTATTACGTTTTGGCAATAAAAACCTGAAATTAATACCAAAAGATCTTCATTTCATTAAAAAGTAGTATTCTATTTCAATCAGCTTCATTATAATGTATTTGATATAAGCTTTTTATTTTTGAAGTTGAAAATTATCTTATTCTATTCATTTAAGCTTAATTATTTGTTAGCTAAATGAATTGATTTCGAAACAAATTACTCACCATGGTTTATTAAGGTCATTGATTGAAGTGGTAGATGCGGTTGATGTGTTTGGTAAACAACTTTGTGCTAATCTGTTATTATTTTTCGTTGCTTTTGCCATCTAAAATTAATGAAAACAAGAAAAAAATGAAATGAACTGAAACAACAATACAATAAAATGATAATAGATAGCACAGTTTTTTTCTTTCTTTTTTCCATTTTTCTTTTTTCCAAAAATAAGCACAGAAGTTAAGAAATCAATGAATTCATGAAAATGAACTAATTAATGTATTCGAAAATAGAAAAATATTTCAATCATCTTTTCCTAAAATACTACTATTAATACTACTAAATACTAAATTAATGCTACTAGATACTAAACTAATACTATTAAACTAAAATACTAATAATAAATCAAACTCACTTTGCTTTCATTTTCGATGCTTTTAGCAAGTTGAGTGAAATCAAATTTTGGATGATCATTGCATGATACCAGCGATGCATTTCCGCCGTTGTCTTCTATTGCGGCTTTCATTGCCATTTGTTGATTAAAATGGATGATTCGTTGCCTCTAAAGAATCAGTGAAATGTTAAAATGATCAGTGCTAACACTGATCATCTATTTATAACTTATCCGATCGCTATGATTGTTTAACATTGCGAATGCCATTTTTTAATCTAAGTACAACCAATTTCAACAATTTCTATTAGTTCATATTCCAGAGACTGTTTAGGATTTACTTTTGTGTTTATTAAAATAAATTTGTTTGATGATACCACAGACGAATTTATCAGATATCATAGTAAAAAGTTACCTGTGCATCAGATGAAATCTGTGCTAACATCATTTGTCGATACAAATGAATGTAATAACGATTCCACTGCTCGGCTGAGTAATGACTAGGAAAGATCGTTGGTGCCGGTGGTACCGGAGGAGTCGATTGTTGAGCTCCAGTCAGTGCTATGAAACCACTGAGAGGATATGGCACGTGAAGAGGACGCATTCTAATTTCTGTAATTGTACGATTTTGTAGCATTCGGAAACGTGCCAACTGCGCCACAACTCCTGAAAAATTGATGCAATCACTAAAATATTTTTATCTTCAATATGAGAAAACGAAAAAAAAAATTTTTTTTAAGTAGATTATAAACTAATGTAATTGGGTAAATACTATAATTTTTTAAGTTGAGAATTCTAAACTATTCAAATTCTCCGTTTTTTCTCAGATATGAAAAAGTTTTTTTTTTTCTCAAGAAAAATATAAATTTCCAATATTTTTTTAAGAATCATTCTATCTAACGATTCGCAATAATAGGCATTACAAGAATGTAAAAACTGATATGATTGACAAATTAGTGTTTATAAAATATGTCGGCACACTTTGTGGCTTTTTTTTTTTTAAACCGTTTATTTTGCATTTGCATGTGAGGTAGTGCAGTATGTATCACTCAACTGTTATGTGTTGTGTTTGTATGTCCGCAAACAATCATGCATGCATGTATGTATGTGTTTGCCTGTCACTAAGCTTTTTGATATCTTTTGCGCAAAGGTTATAATAGTATATAAATGGCGGTAAAGATGAAACGTTGTATATTGCTGCTGATATATCGGGTGATATTGTCAAGTGATCAAAACGAAGAGTACCAATCATTATCATAGTGACAATAATCGTTCTAAAATAGCTATATAGAAAAATAAATACAATTGTATGCACATACACACATACACATACATTCACACATACACTTGCATATACGTAAACATAAAACACGCAGAAATACATACACACATATATACTTAGATCATGCACTATAATGCACACGTTATTCGGAAATAACATCGAGTCTTAGCTGTCAGAAAATTACAGCAGACTATCTGAAAGATTGAAATATCTATCGTATAACTGCTGAAATCTTGAAAATTTAATCTTTTCTTTCAAGTATTATCATAATGTTGAAGTTTTACAGTGATACTTTTTTGAGTTTGATCAATCTAAACTTAGCTAGTTATTACTTATGTGGAAAATAATAACTGCAGAATTCTTTCTGCAAAAATATTAATAGCAATAAATATACATGTTTTGCCCTATGTTTATATCAATTTCTCTCTTCTCATATCTTTTCTCTCGGAATCATTAATGAATGCGTCAAATAGTATTAACATTGTAGAACAAAATTCTCTGCAAAAATACTAACAAGTATGAATATTTCGTCTTATATTCATGCCAATTTCTTTTCTGTCATATCCTCTGCCTCCAAATTATTTTAGCCATCAAAGGAAGAAAGAAATTATTTCAAATATTCGTTTATCACTTATTCTTCATGATCATGCAACTACTATTATCGCAACAGGAAATTGTTTCAATTGAAATATGTCCTTATCACCTCATGATAACTAAATTCTCCTACCATATTGCTAAATGCTGCTAAAGAATAAGACTGAAAGAGACAAAATGTAAAAGCTTTCAAGGAACCATATCATGAAATGAGAAGATGGAAATGCTCTAACACATCTGATTGAATGCATGAAAAAGAGGAAGCTAAAGGTGGGAGTAGCTGAGAGAGAATTGTGCGGCACATTCTTTTGATCATTTTTAAAAATCAAACAGTGAATGATAACAACACGAGAAACTCTTTCGTACATAAATATAGTGCTGAAATTTTGCTTCTGATTTGAATGCTTCACAAAGTAACGAGACTAGGACCATTTCGCTATTCAAGCATCAAATAGATGAAAGGATGAAGCCGCCGATACCTCAACATCCTGAACTGTATGTGACTTCTTCATACACCGCTTCTCATGCCGTTTTCTGCATCCATCCAAACCGATCCTTCAGATGACAACAACCATTGCTGGCTGTATTATGCTCATATTTTTATACCGTTTTTTGTAGCTTAAAATTTTGAATGCTTACCGCTTCCTTTCCATTTTCAATCATCAAATGAAAGCATTCACTATCATCAGCTTTTACTTAGCAGTATTTCTTTTTCTTACATATATATTACGTTTTTACAAAAATGAAAGAAAAAGCGGGAATGGAAATCTTTTGAAAAAATTTTACACTAAAAAAATTTTAAACAAATTAAAAACTTTGTTGCACTCTTTGCATTATTTTTTAAATGTTTTAACTTATCGTTTTTGATAATAATCAAATAGCAAAATATCATCACTACTTTCACAAAATTTTTACTTATCAAAATTATTAGCAATAAAAATTTATAAGAAATTGAATTTATAAAAAATTTTTGGAAATAAATTTCAAGTTGAAAATACATTTTGAATTACAAATTTCCATCAATTTTTTTTCCTTGTTTTGAGTTCAAAAAGTAAAAAAAAATATTTTATGGATTTAATAAAATATTGTAAGAGATGTCAATAGCTCTTATTAAGCTATTGACTAGAAGTTTAGTAATATATTTTTGCTTGAATTATTTTTTTTTTGTAACTCATCTCCGTCACATATGAATAAGTAAGAATAAATAAGCTTAGCATTTATATTGAGTGTTCTAACTATGCTAAAAATATTTTGGTATTCCAAAAAGTATATCAAAATATATTCAAAACCGAGTTAAATCGAATCCAAATTCAAATTACAGCCAAAAGAAAGTTTAGTAATATACTTCCACTTGAATTGTCCTACTTTAGAGAGCAGAGAAACTAAGATAAGTTTACTTTAAAGTAAATTAAATTTTCATTCCATACTGTTCATTAAGACAATTACACCAATTACTTTTAAATAATCTCCTAGTGCCATAGTTTTTCATTTCAAGTTGCTCTCAAGTTGGAATGAATTTAATACGGAAATTATTAAAATTTCTTAACAGCCAGCGTTTCAAATTAATCTTTTATGATTAATTTCTTTTATTAAGATTTTTTAAAGCTTAATTTCCTTCACAACTCACCAATACCTTTTAAAATCATTTCGATGCACAAATCACTGAGTTGACCGAATTCAACTCAACAAAGATGAAAGCAATAATAGTGCAGGCGGAAATGTATGAAAATATCGATAGTGATGAAATGTTATCATTTTGATAACAAATCATAGAAGTGTGATGGAGCAATAAAAAAGATGATAGGAAAAAGTAAGCAGAGAAATAAAAGACAAGAAAGTTGTATGAGAGTAAAGTTTCAAACAAACAAATTATTTACTAATATTTTATAGCATTATTATTCACTAATTTATTATGCAAAAAATAAATTATGACAGAAAACGGGAATAAATCCATAAAAATAAATAATGGTTAAGTGAGATAAATTGAATTATCATACTGAAAGAATTCTTCTACATTTAGTTTTATGCCTTTGTAACAGAAATTTATAAATTTTTGTATCATAGAATCTTACATCAATTCCAAATATGCAGTGCACAGGGCGATAAAGTTTTTTGAAATTGACACAAAAGTAGCAAAAGTAAAGTTAGATTTATGATGAAAAAACTAAAAATTGCATAACTAAGTATTTAATAGATAATGAATATAACTTTGTGATATATATATTTGACTTTTTAATATATATTCGCGTTATTAAGAATTTATAAACTGAGTAAAAATTAATAAAAAATATTAAAAATAAAACTGAATTTTGATTGATATTTACTAATGGTAGAAGTTTCTCCGATTTTTTTGCATTTATTACGGGATTATTTTTTTTAATGAAAAAAAATCACTCTTTATTTCAAAATTATTGTCTTTAAAATTAATAATTTAATCATGAATTAGTAACAATCACTGTTCGAATTAGTTGTTAACTGCTTAGTTCAGAAATAATATATTTAAACTATAAGCATATATACAACAATCTTAATTATTTTACAAATAAGTGAATTACCTAAAAAATGTTGAAAATTTACATACAACATTGAGAATAATTCCACAAAATTACCTCTCCCCTCTCCCCACTTTCGGTATTTACTTAATCACTCATTACTTATACTTTTCTACCTTTTTTTTTTTCTTACTCATATTTTCCTTCATTCTCCGGATGGAAATGATTTTAAATCCGTAAAGTGATTCAGTGTAAATCCGTTAACTGCTAAAAGCATTCGAAGCATAGAATTGGACATACAGACTAAACCGATAAAATGAAAGAAAGATTTGTTCAGAAAGTGTGAATTAGTCACACCGTTAGCGACGAACACATTTACTGGTTGGCAGTAGTAGCCGCTCATTGCAACAGCGCCACAGATACTTATCTGCCTACCGTACTCAACTGACAACGCCTACTGGTTAATGGCATCAGGAACAACTCCGCCCATAGTAATACTCATCGGAAGCTATCAAAAAAAAAAAAAAAAAATAATTTTGAAATTTTCTTTAAAACGTTAAAATCATAAACCATTAGCAATTAAATCAATCAAGTTAGCTTATTTTTGTAGGAATAGCTCATTAATTCAAAAAAAAAAAAAAGCGCAATTTTGTTCTTTCACAAAACTCTTATTTCATTTGTTTTGCAAACAATAAAGTTGCAAAGTCAGATGGAAAAGAAAATTCTATACATTGTTTTATAAACTATTAATAATGAAATGAATAAATAGATTAAATGAAATTTCGTCTTAGCTAACACTATGAATTACTTTAAAAAGCATATCTGTATAATATACGTGATGAATACGTTAAATAACTGATGAGCAAAAAAGTTTCTCAGCAATACATTGAAAACATACGTAGAGTATAAATCATCAATGAATTGCTTAACAAATTTTGCAAGTCAAGGAAAGCATATATTAAATCACAACTCTTACTGATCAGGCAATATCAAAATAGCAAAGCCAGTTAGACCGCAATCCTCATTTCCAAGTACTTTGATAAACAATTGTGCGAGTTCTTGATACTGATGGTGACAACAGTTCAAGTTTTTATTAGTAGCTTATTTTTTTATTAGAATCTATCGTACTAATTTTTGATATTTGATTAAATTTTCAAAACTAAAAGTTTTCTTTCTTCTAGAATTCTAGAAAAACTCGTAATTCTTTGTTCTTCGCCCTTTCACTTCTTAAAATATGCATTATACGAAAACATTAAAGTAGTGAAAAAA